TAAATTTGGTACGGATCTTTAAAAAAGTCAAGTTCTATACCCACATGATAACTTTTTTAGAGATCTGTACCAAATTTAACGGTGATTCTTTGGGGTCCTACACACATGGGTGGGGGAGGGTCCTATAGGATCATTACTCATATATATAACATTTAAATATATATATATATATATTTTATTTTTTGGTTGCATCCAATCTGGTCTGAGTCTAGGTCCCATTAATGTTTTTCGAGATTGGACCTGAACCCGATCCGACCTGTTGCCACCCCTACAAAGAGACCACTTTACTTTTGAAACAAAGAAGTTACAATCACTCTTACCCATCAGATTTCAATTTAGATGGCAGTAAGAGTGTTATTGATTAGACTCAAAAATAAAAATAAAAATAAAAATAAAAAATTTCGAATTTGGTCTCCTCAAACGATTCAATTTGATGTTTATTGAATGCAACCTGATAAATAGAATCATACTATGAAATTCTTTTGATATTGTTTCGTATTCAATTTGATGTTTATTGACTAGGAGTAAATGCAACCTGATAAATAGAATCATAGTATGAAATTCTTTTGATATTGTTTCGTAGGAAGGGAAAAAAGTACGCCTAGGCTAAAAGACAAGAACATTTTCGTCAATTACTTTTGTTTTCGACAAATCATGTGTCATGCAAATGGCACATTCGTCCTTACAAGGTGAGGGAAAATGGATTAACACTTCTAAAACAATTGAGTTATCTAAATTCCATTCCAAATTGGAAGACCAGGTTCCTAGTTAGAAACTAAAATTAGTTTGATTTAGATTGCCGGAGCTGAAATTGTCAAGAATTGGATAAGTTCATCAAGAAATAGGCTATTCAATTAGGATGAATCTCCTAATTCCCAACAATTATACTCTTTATTTTTATACTTTTTAAATTTTTATAGACTTACTCTTAAGTTTGAGAATTATTGTGATTCGCTGATCTAGATTGGTGAACCAAATTAACACAATGCCATTTTATCAAATATAATTTTTTATTTGTTCTTAACCTCCTTATCACAACATAATAAAATACAGTAGAATGGGTAGTGGAATCCTATAAAAAGACTGGTCTATCTTAGCTAAAAGATAATGTCCATTGGTGCGTTGGTAATTGTCAGACGATGGATTTTTTGATAAACCCTTGGCTATCAGTGCAGTCAATCAGGTATTTTTAACATGCAAATGGGCAGATGGATTTAGGGGAACTTGGAGGGAGAAATGTTTCAGAGTTTATTGATGGTAACCCCCCATCATGGACTTTGCCTTCACATACTTCAATTTTATTGAATACAATATGGGGAGATGAGGAGCGATATACTCTTCCCTTTCATCTTAAAGATGATTTATTGGTATGGATTCATTCTGCCAATGGAACTTTCTCAATCAAATCAGCATGGAATTTCATTCGATATAAAAGGTCACCCCATCCTTTTAATTCGTGCTCTTTGGTATTCAAAATGTCACCCAAGAGCTAAGTAGTTTTCATAGCTAGCTATGCATAATCGGTTACCGAATTCAACCATATTTCAGCAGCGAGGTATACATATGGCTACTATATTCCCATTTTGTAGAAACAACGAGGACAATATATGCCACCTCTTGTTTCATTATTCTTTTTCACGGATTGTTTGACAATCTTTAGCTTGACGGTGTTGCAAACGATTTGTGCCTGGTACTACGACCCTGGATATTCTTTGTAGGTGGGTAGCCTTCAAATTCAAATCACAGGGTTTACTCGACATCTGGACGGCTATCTTTCTCACAACAATCTGACATCTATGGGAGAAGCGGAACAAACGAATCTTTAGATCTAACACTTTAAGGAGGGAGCATGTTGTAATTCGTATTACTTCACAAGTTAAGGCTCTAGCAAAAGTTAAAAAATGGACGTTCCATTGTCAAAGAAGGCAGTTAATGGCAATTTACAGATTAACTGGCTCCAACAGAAGCCAAAATCCTTGATCCCAGTTGTATGGTCATTTCTTGAAGCTCAATTATAAGTTGAATATTGATGGTACGTCCTTGCATAATCCTGGTTTGACAGGAGAGGGTGGAATCATAAAAAGCAACAATGGTGAATTTGTGGAAACGTTTGCTAAACACTTTAGAGTTGCATCTAATAATTATACAGAATTCCAGGCTTTTAAAAAAAGTATTATCTTAATTATTCAGATAGGCTGCTTTTCGATATAAATAGAAAGTGCTTCATCTTGAAGAATGTATTATCTTAATTATTCAAATAGGCTGCTTTTCGATATAAATAGAAAGTGATTATTTACTAGCAGATGATATTCAAAATCGTTCTAGTGCCCCATAGAAATTACAAATATTACTTGAGAATTGCTGTTCAAGGATATCGTCCCACATGTTGTTTATTGTTCATATCTTTTGGGAGGCGAACATGGTAGCTGATGCTTATGTAGGTGCAACAATTTGACGTTGTTGACCGCCAAATTTTCTCTTATTATTGCATGACTTGACACAACTATCCTATTATAATGTGGTAAGTTAATATGTTTTTCATTATTTTATTAATAAAAATTTGGGTAGGGGTCCTTCTCCCCCACTTACCCAAAAAAATTCCTATAAAAATACCTTGCCATGTCCCCTTATATGTACACCTTGAGACAAGGGGAAGGAGTCAAGAGTTAGATGTGGAGAATGTTTTGATGGGGTCTTCTCTCAAGAGTTCAATTTGAAAAAGCAAAGGTTTACATAGGGTTGCAACTTTAAATATGCACCTCAAAAATCTATCATAGAAGGTTGTTTGGAGGTCGTAAAACTCTCTAGTTGATCATCTCGGCAATATGAAAAGATAAAAAGATTTCTAGTGTGAATAATGTATCTAACAATATATTATCTAGATCATAAATTTTCAAAATTTATCTAGACCATTAATTTTCAAAATTTTTATTTGTTTATAGATCTAAAACCATTTTTAAAATTTAAAATTTTATAATTAAAAATGAAAGTATTTTATAATTAAAAATGAAAGTAAATTCTCAAGCCATCCTAAAAATTTTAATTTTTGATAACAAAATTACATTTAAGATAAATTCTAAAGGTGCGCCTTAATTGGATTGTTCAAGGCTGCAACCTTATGCGAAGCACACCCCTTGAAAAATGATGGTCGCCTGGTCTAGATCGCATATAAATGGAAATCTTAAAATCATAAAGCATATTAATTTGTACAACTCGATTGAGACATCTTAGTTAAAATTAGAACTATAAAATGCCAAAATGACATTGCAGAGCCACTTCTTTATTTATTTGGTTGTAAATTTGATACGATATCATTTAACAGCCACTAACACCTCATCAAGCCACGAAGCAATTCAAAATATATTAGTTAACAATTACAATTAGTTTTAAATTTCCACTTCCTAACTCTCATTTAACCAATTTAACCAGAGGATTATACTTTTTAATTTTCACTTATATTTTCTAATTTTCACTTTCAATTCTCAATTAACCACTCCTCGAGCCAGATGATGACTAGCCTTTTCCCAACTTTCGCCATAATTCCAGGCCATATACTCCTTGCTCACAGGGGCCCAATTGCCTCCTTTGAGTCACCACCAATTAACAAGAGCAAATTGGGCAACTTCAAAAATATTTCTTAAAGAGAAGCTGAATGAAAATCACAACGTAAATTGTGCTCCTTTATGTAGAAAAATCAAATCCTCTTATGCTTCTTGACCCCCTTAATAATTTTGTAAAAGAAAGCTACACAACAATACTTTTGATTAAATTTTAACTCTGTAAATTTTTCTTTGGGTACTCCAAAATCCACACAAGGGGTCAATTGATGGGCAACAATAATCTTTGCATATAAGCAACTCCTGATTTTTCCTTTGTTTTGAACAAAATATTTACAAGCTCCATTAGTTTCTCGCATAAACAACCTAGCAAAAGACTTCTGCTCCTTAATTACAGTAATAAAACACTGCAATAAAAAAAAAACACACTTCAAAGCTATTCATAAACAAAACCCCACACTCAAAACCACTTCTAAAACCCATAACTACATAATATATACACAGAGATTACCACTACAACGCCTCCATAGATGATAACTTTCTATTCATCATTGACTATTATTCCTGCTTCCATTATTTTCAAGCATTTTTCTCAGCTCTTAATTGATTTTAATGGCCTTCACATCGCTTTTAGGAGTGGCCTCCCCTTTGGGCACTACCACAGTGAGCACCCCAGTCTCCATGGTGGCCTTCACTGCATCAACCTTGGCGTTCTCAGGCAGCCTGAACCTCCTCAGGAACCTCCCCTGGCTTCTCTCGATTCGGTGCCATGTGTCGCCCTTCTCCTCGACTTCCTTCCTCCGCTCGCCGCTTATCTTCAACACCCTCCCATCCTCCAACTCCACCTTCACCTCGTCCTTCCTCACGCCAGGGAGGTCAGCCTTGAACATGTGGGCGTCGTCGGTCTCCTTCCAGTCGAACCTCGCGTTCACAAAGGGGGCGACATCGTCGGTGGTGCCCCTCGGAAAGGCCACAGCTGAGCCCGTGAAGGCCTCGAAGGGGTCCCATATATCGAGGGCGAAGGGATCGTAGATGCTGCTCCTCTGCGGCCCCCAGAAGCTCGGAACAAGCGCCATTTTTGTGGTGGTTTATGGCCTGGTTCGGATCACAGAAGAAATGAGGGATGATTTGGAACCTAGCTTCAAAATTCAAACAGAGACAGTAGGCTCGCTGGTGTTTTACAAGAGCTTTGGATGGAACTCTTATGAAAGGAACAGAGCGGCGTAATGGGTATTTATGGGAGAAGATTGTTTTTTTTCTCTACAATTTTCTGGTTTGTTGTGGAAGTCTCTGGAGAATTATCTTACTTTTACTACTCTCTCTCTTCTTTTCACTATTTTCTCCCTCCCTCTTATTTTCAGTATTCCCTCTCTTCTGTAGCGTGTACAGGTGTGCCCGGGGATGAATCGGTGTCGTAGTTTCCAGAAGGGAGAGGAAATGGATGTGTTCTACTTTCCACGAGGGGATAGATTCTGTAACTAGAATTTCACATTTTTGCCCTCATGTAACACGTAACGGCAAATGTGGATTATGCGTAAAAAATATCTTTTTAGATTAGATACAATGATATCTTTTATTTTTTATACAAGGTGATCATAATTTTTTACAATTATTGAATGTGAAATTTGATAGCCAAGATGTGTTACAAAGTTTGAGAAATTCTTTTTTAAAATTGAGCTCGATCAATAGAATAATTGCATCAACTTAATTTCACATCTAATGGTCAAGATTAATGTGACCACCTAGTATCAAAGGTAAATGATCTCATTCTATACTTTCTGATATCTTTTTAAGATTTTTCCGCTCGAGATCGAAAAATCAAATATTCAAAATTAGGGGCTGGATTATCTACAAAGAGATCATTCATCTTTTGTGCATGAAGGTCACAATCATTCCCACTGATTAGATTTAAATATAATAGCTTTGGGTGAATCTTCAAATCTAAGAATTTTTTTTTTAACTTTATGTCTATTCAATGACACTTTTACAACCACTCAAATTGATATTTAAAAGACGTGAATGATTATGATTTCCATATACAAAAGATAAATAGTTTTTTTGTAGATAATCCCATAAAAAAAAATGGGATTGTAAGTAAAGAGACTATTTATCTGTTTACATGAAGATCAAAATTATTTTTGTCCCTTAAGTTTCAAAATGTGTGGTTCCAAAAATGCTATAAAGGACCAATTTGCAACCGAAGTTTGGTTTACTTTATTATCATGCAACGTTATAAAACCTTGCTATTTTCAATCTGTATCATTGAGTCGAGCCGAATGAGAATCGGTTGGAAACAAACTGGCTCTATGATGGTATGGGTTGCGGTCTAGATCTCTACTAAAACCTTTTTTATATATTTTTACTATTTTTAAATTTACTTAATATTTTTTGAACCCCACTAGACCTCACCACATAAATGTCTACCTTAATTTTTATTTTATTTAATATATATGTTGATGTTCTTTTAGGTTACCAAATCATACTAGATCCGGATCATTGATTCAATAATCTGACACCGATTTATGGATGAGCCATCCCCCCTAGATCCAAAATTTTAAACACGCTCGCGAGTAAAGATGGCTTACAAAAGTTCAGATGTATACTGTGTGCATCATGTTGTTAAGAGGGGGAACCAACCATGGGTGTACATTTCCTTTTAAAAATATGCGAACTTGGTCTTTACCTTTTGAGCATTTTTGGAGTGCTCATGCTAATTCTTTTGAGTTGATCAATTTCTGTGCATCATTTGTTAAGAGGGGGAACCAACAATGGGTGTACATTTCCTTTTAAAAAGATGCGAACTTGGTCTTTACCTTTTGAGCATTTTTGGAGTGCTCATGCTAATTCTTTTGAGTTGATCAATTTTTAATGTTCAAAGCAGGGTTTGAAAAGTCGTTCGACTTGGGAATCGGCTGCCCGTTTCGGTTCTAGCATGATAGACGAAACTGCCTGGCGAACCGCCCGATGACATACATCCACGTACATCACACGCGCACGTGTAACATGTGCGACAAAATCACAAGGCACATATCACATGTAGGGTTGCCTCTGTGTTTCCACACGCATGCTTCATTTCATATTACATAGTTATTTATATAGCAAAGTTGAATATCCATGTGGGATAATTTCCAAACATCATTAAATGAAGATGGAATGTAAATATATTCTATTAATAAATAATATACTATCACATATAGTGAGGAGGGGCGATGGTTATGACTTTTGCTCTTTTCTTTGACATCCCAAGGTTGAATCTCCTTGGGTATATGTTATATTAATTTTTGTTGTATAGCAGTTAATTTTTGTTGTATATAGTAGTATAATTATTTTTGTTGTAAATAATATAAAAGGTATAAAAAATAAAAAATAAAAAATTTATTCTATTTAAAATCTCTCTCTTTCGAATAACAATCTCTTTCACTAAATTTATTATAGAAACCTAAAAATTAAATTTTTGAAAAATTAAAGTGTTATTTCTAAAATCTATAAGCATTTTATTAATTTTTACATTGATAACCAAATCTTTTATTTTATTTATTAATTTTTATATTATAAATCATGTAATGTACTATTTTTCTTACAGTTGTCAATGATAAATTTTAAATTAGATAATATCATAAAATATTTTGAATTTGTTATTATTTGTATAATAAAATAATTATAAAATGTAAACTAATAATTATAATTTCAGTATATAATATTATAATTAGTTAGGTTATAATAATTTTGGATTATAGTTAGTTAGGTTGTAATAATTTGGGTTTTTTTAGCGGATTAGGTTTTTTCTCCAAAACGAGATTTTAGTGGCCATTGTTTCATTGATTTAGTCTACTCTTTATTATAGCCTATGTATAAATATATATTTTATCCATGATAATTCTATGATTTTTGTTTTATGTGATGTAAATTTAATGGTTAACATAAGTTTATATAGGGAAAGAGCATTTCAATATTCACAAATTGATAAAAAAATGAAAGTTAATAATATAGTACACTCATTTCTTATTGGATTCCTAAAAGAGAACATTTATAATGAATTTTGATAATTTATTTGAAATTTTTTTAAGGCTTAATCGGACCGATTCCCGATCCGTATCACCGATTCATAGATCCGGATGGGTTTTTGGAGTGCTCGATCAGGGGCATCGATCCTTTTTTTAAACCACTGGTTCAAAGTCTATTACTTCTTATCATATTCATGATCATTGAGCTTGAGATTATGTCGTGTTTAATGTTGAGATTGATTTGAAAAGAGGCCGCACTTGAATAAGTAAGCACCAATGTTTTTCTTTTGGACCTGGTTTCAATGCGGCCAAGCCCGCATACGTAGAAATGCAGGCCTCTTAATAAATCTATTTTTGAGATAGATTTTAATTCAAGGGAAAATTTTCATTTTGTTTAGACGGAAATGCTCTTCCCGTACACAAAATTCAATTTGGCCAGATTTGACGTGACTTTTGGACCCCAGTAGCACAATGTTGGACCGCACCATCGTATTGTCGGACCACACTTATACATTACCTGAGCCCTGTGACTCCAGAGTGTTACACTGTTGGACGCCAGTGTCGGACCCTTGTTATTCCAGAGTGTTCTACTGCCGGATTGTACTTACATAGTGCTAGAGCGCTGTGATTTCAGAGTGTTCTACTGTCGGACCGCACTTACACAGTGCCGGAGCACAGTGACTCCTGAGTGTCCCACTGTCGGACCGCACTTACATAGTGCCTGAGTTCTTGATCCACTGTCGGACCGCACTTACATCGTGCCAGAGCCTTGTGGCTCCAGAGTGTTCAACTGCCAGAGCGCTGTGACTCCAGAGTGTTCCACTGCAGGAGTGCTGTGATTTCAGAAACTCTTTCTTCTAAACTGCCGTCATAGATTGCCGAACCCTTTTCTCTCTCTTGTCCCTCAACTTTTTTTCTTTTGGGTGGTGTTACATGTTAGCTAATAATAAGGAGAATTGGAGTTACGTGTTGCTTTTAGGTGGTGGTGACACTGTTTTTAAGTGGCAAATTGATTTGGTGTCTAAATCTATTTCACATAGGGCCTATTTGATAGCTGGAAGCAAGTTTAGGAACTGTAAATTGGAAGTTCTTAAGTTCTGTGAACTTAAGAAGTTCATGGTTTCTGTGTTTGATAACCTCCCTGAGAAGTTAAGAAGTTCTTGGTTTCTGTGTTTGATAATCTCCTAGGAAGTTAAGAAGTTCCTGGTTTCTGTGTTTGATAGCCCCTTGAGAAGTTAAAGAATAACTGAGTATCTGTATTGGATTAGAGAAAAGACTGGCTTTCATCCCATTAGCAAGTGTTACATTTTTTATATGTCCACCACTGACACCACATGATAAAATTGCATTTTGGTTTCCAAACCGGCCTATAGTCCTTACCAAAAGAATTATCATGGGGTAGATATCATCTTGAAGTTTTCCAAAATCAGTGGCAGTCATGTAATTTTTATAAAGCCCATATCATTTTGAACTTTTCTAAAGCAGTGGCAGTTATGTAACTTATTTTCTGTTTCTTTTTCTTGCAAAGAATAGGTGCACATTGTTTCTTTTTTTGCAAAGAAGTATGGACATGCGTGAAGACCAAGCAAAATCCATAGAGAAGTATAGTCTACCTTTGTGAGATTTGTGGTCTCTATCTTATTCTTGTAACGATTTTTTGTTTGCATGATTTTGTGTTTCCACGATTTAGTTTTTGTGCATTCACTTTTTTAATATATATTTTTTTGACAACTTTTCTCAAAATATATAGTACTTATAAACAATGAAAAGAAAAATACAAAATGTTTCATATCATGGTATTGGAACCAAAAGATCTTTTAAAAAAAAAAGAAAATGCAAAATGCAGAATAGAATAAATTCACTAATCAATGAACATTTCAAGATTTGCATGCTATGTGGCCCAATGGATAAACTACGAGTGAAGTTTGAGAGTCAGAAGTACACAAAAATATGCAAGACACTTGGGGTCAAAATATTGAAACTCTATGGAGGCATTAGATGTTCTAGAAAAGGGATGTATAATATCCAATGCGCTACATAAAACTATGCTCCATCGGGGTAATCCACATTTGATGAAATTATGAGTGGTGATGAAGATGTAGGACCCACCATTGTGATCATATCCTGTTCTAGGGGGTTCCAGTCCCTCTTTATACCATTTATCATTTCATTGGACGAGGACCACCCCATGGAATCTGCAACTGAGTAGCCATTGGATATATTATACACTGCCATTCTAGAGATGTAATAACAATAACATGTAATAACTTCAGCACTGATACATTTGTATCAAGCAATATTCACAAT